ACGAGTTTTGTGGCAGGTATGGGTTGGGAGGTTTAGGGAGGCGGATAGGGTCTAGAATTTAGAAAACCCTCCCGAACCTACCCCATTGCCATCCCTAGGTGGGAGGAGCACTCTGTGAGGAGTAGATCCAAACTCTTTACAAACTAAGAAATTGATGATTCCCTACCTCAAAATGGGTGACTCCTTGCCACCCCCACCCCCCAAAAAATGGCGATTCCTCATCAATCAAAATATTGGTTATTCATCTATAAATGATTATAAGGAATCAATTCCCTTAATCCATACCTTATACATAAATATGATTTAGTGTTTGAATCAGATAAAGCTTAGCCTTAGTTTGGAAGGAGTACAAATACAAATATGTGTAGTGTAAATGCATACAAAATAATACAAAATACAAGGTTTTGTACTTTACCTATTTGCATTTATACTCCTTCCAAACATAGCTAATGATGAATGATTTGGCCCAACCTAGTAAGCAGTTGACATGTGGACATAACAAGGTGAGTAGACGTATGCCTCAACATCCCTTGCCACCTCGGCAGGTTGGTTCAACATTCTCGGCCACCTCGGGTACCTTGGTCACCTCGAATAGCACCGAAACCCTGGGTACCTCGGGATGACCAAACTTGCCCAAAGTGACACGTAATGACCCTCTAGAAGTTTCCTAGACGTCTTCGAACCTTTTGGGATCACCGCCGCATAACCGTAGGCATTGTCCTCATCTTGCCCAAATCGGAAGGAAATGGTAAGCCTCATCAATTAGCGCACTTTTCGCCTCCTAGGGCGTAACGGACCCTTACGGCGCAGTCCGAAGATTCTGGGAGCGTTTCGTTAGACCCACGACTCTCAGCTAAATAAGGGCAATAGCCCTTGAGACCCAGGTACATGCGACTGTTTGCTCATTAGCTTACTAGTATACAACTTCCAGCTCGCATACAAAGATATTGACTCAAGCATCGGAGCGACCTCGCCAGATTAGCCACCCCAAATTCTCTGATCCATTTGTCTTGCAGTTCGACTAACCAGCTAAACTACCGGCATCCAGGTTACCCTCCAGCTAGGAGCATCCTGGTCGTACACCATCAATAGCCTTACCCTTTATTTAAGATTGTTAATGGATTGGATCATGTTAGACTTCAATCCTGTCCAAATAAGAAAATACTGATTTAAATTTTGAATTGAGAATGGGATGACTATATAGTGGGCTGTGGAACCAATGATAACATATGGTGCTAGTGGTAAAATATATGGACCTATGATAAGAGGTAAGAGGTTAAATGGTTGCAATCTACATGTTTAAAAAATAGAGCATTATCATTGGTGGCACAGCCTAATGAACAGCTATGTGTTTGTAAGTGATAGACCAGAAAACTGACCTTGCTAAAAGAGGTTCATCAAAACTCCTATCAGGTTTGACCCAATATGACACCGTTTTGACTATATCTTTAAATTGGTAACTTGGCTATAATATGTTAATTCCCTTGCTTTCTGTTTTAAAATATCTTCTAGGTTGTTATAAAAGGATAACTTTGCAAATTACAAGCCAAAATAATATTTGAATGGGTGAGATATGTCAGGATTTTGAGTTAGTCCAAAGCATTTGATAATCCCACCTTTAGATTGTGCTTAGTGTCAGTATTGTTTCTACTTTTATTTTTTTTTCTGCCTTAGTGTCAGTATTGTTTCTACTTGAATTGTTTTGAATTGATCAAATATAAATGGGCTAAAAATATGTATTGTCACATCACATATGAATCACTTCAATCACAAAAGGGCATGTATATATGAGATTGATTATTGATGTTTATAGTTGAGATGTCAAATTCGATCAATTCAAAATGTTTTAACTAAAAACACCAATGATACCAAACATAAACTTATGGGTTTGACACTAAGAAATATTGTAAATCTAGACTTTTAAATATTAACATCTGGCCATGAAGTCTAGATCAAGATTTTATTAAGTAAAACACACCTCTTAATGTTTTTCCATAAATTTAGAAGGAGTACAAATGCAAATATGTACAGTATAAATACAAACAAAATACAAGGTTTTGCACTCTACATATTTGCATTTGTACTCCTTCCAAACTGAGCTTTAATACCAAATTCTAACCAACCAAGGGCTGGATTGTTGGTGTGTTAGCTGGTTTGTTCCAGGGTTGACATGAAATCAAATCCAACAACCAGCGCTTTGGGGAAAAAGGGGTTAGGGAGAAATTATTACCGGTGCATAGCAGCGAATAAAAAAAAAAAAAAATCTACGAACTGAAATCAACTAAGGCCATGTTTGGTTCACTGCTTTGGGCCTCATTCTTTTAATTCTTACTCATTCTGGGCAAGAATGGATAACATTAGTTTTTAGTTACAAAATTCTTGCCATGGGCCATATTCTCTTCAGAATGAAAAATCAACCCACAACACAAAAATTGAGGTGGCGGCAGCATGAAAAATAATTATGTGCCATCTTGCTCATTTTCATTCTTTGAGTAAACTTTGCCTATAAAATTAATGCCATAGATGTTTACTAGTGGATTACTGTGGAAGTACCTTTACATGAAATCACTTTTATAAAAGTACTTTTATAAGAAAGCATTTTTATGAAAGCACTTTAATAAAAGCACTTTTATACGAAAGAACTGTTGCAAAAGTACTTTTATGAAAGCATCTTTGTAAAAGCACTTTTGCGAAAGTACTTTTCAAAAATCACTTTTAAGGAAGTATTTTTACATGGAAGAACTTTTACAAGAGTACTTTATGAAATAACTTTTACGAAGTACTTTTATAAAAACACTTTTACGAAAATACTTTTATAAAAATACTTTTAAGAAAACACTTCTATGGAAGTACTTTTATCAAAGTATTTTTATGAATCACAAAAGCTCTTTTACAGAAAGTATTTTTACATAGGACACTTGTTAGTCTAAAAAGAATTCATTTTTAGGAAGAAAGCATTTGATTCATAGCAATATTTTTTCACTCTACCTATTTTTATCCATTCTTATTCATCTTAGAATTTCAGCTTGAATAAGAATAAGAATTGAACCTAACATGTCCTAAATTTCTTTACCTTATTAATAATGCAGGTACAATTGCTACAAATCCAGATGGGAAAAAACAAAATGATATCTATCAGTAGGGATTTGAAAATCCACTTGAAAATGTAAAAATTTTGACAAACTAATTGCATTGTTATAGAATTCACATCGGTGCCCCACATCACATTCCAACCGTGGATCGAAATGACAAGTAGAGGATGAGATATGCATGTGGGGCGTGCCTCGATGTGATCTCGTTGCTATAAGGTGTAAGATTACAATATAGTTGTGAGGTAGAACGTCACAACCCGAGTGTGTAACATGTTCCAACGGGGTGGCGGTATCGAAACGACTTCTCTATCTTGCAATAATAAAAAGCGAAGACATCAAGCCAACAAGTAGCAAATCAGAATCGTTCAGTTTATCAAAAAAATGACCCCGACAATTCGTTTAGGTTGTGTTTGGTTTGAAAGAAACCTCTCTACTTTTTCCTTTCACTACCTTTTCTTTCAAACCAAATACACCCTTAGATCTTTTCGTTGTTTAATTGTTATAATAAAAATTGGTTTTGTTGGGCTATGGGGGCCTATCAAAAAAGGCGTAAATGGGACCTATCAGAATAGGCTGGAGCGCAGCAGCTGTGACTGTGAGCTATGCAGGAGCAGGACTCTTACACTCATTCCTCCAAATCTTCCGCGTTTGTCGCTTCACTTAACAGGCCGCTCCCTACGGTCTAACAGTGTAAATGGTCGGACCTTGGAATCGATTGAGATTTGTGGAGTGTCACGCTCCGCACGCGCCCGCGCTCAAACACTTCCAAATCCTCCGTGAGATAGGATAGGAACAACCCGATACACGTGCGCGCTTGAAAGACAGCGTATGATAGACGACATAGACGAAGGCCGACTTGCGTGCGCCGACCTGGCACTGTTAACCGCTCACTTTCGCACGAATGCACGCGCTCTTAATTAGTAATCGTTAATTAATCTGAAATTAATTAAGTAATTGCAGAAACAAAGAAGATGATGAATGAAGATTGAAGAAGAAGAAGAAGCGTACATGACAACTCATGAGGTACTGCAGCAATTGAGTCTGTGGCCTGACAGCAGGCGAATTGACTTTGGCACGGACATTAAGAAAAGCAGTGGGCCAGAAACCTTACAGAAATGGTCCGGCTTTTGCCACGTGTACTGAAGACCCGGCCTTATATCACTCTCTTAATTAATTAGATCTCATCCCCCATTTTCTTTACATAAATTTATTAATTTAATAAACCTTTTTAATCTTTATTTAATTGCTCGGGACTTGTACCCCAAAAGATTGAATGGCTCATGGGCCATGCATGGGTACGATTCTTCCAGTCTCCCCTACTGTAGAATTAGAATAAGCCTTTTTTTAAGGATAATAATTACTATTAATAAAAAAATCAAACCACCAGGGATTAGATAAAGTGTTGGGTTTCCTAATTTGTCCTTGTAAAATAATTCCTAAATCCACAAGCTTACCATCTTCGGGGAGAAGGTTAAGAAAAAAACAAATAAAAAAAAAATATTTTAGAGTAATTTTATAAGCAGAGACGCAGAGACATGATGGGCAAGTTGCAGGGCACTTGCTAAGAGGAAGGATGCATTTGGACAAATTGATTAGTTTAGTTTTGAGATTAGGTTCATGAAATGAATGAAAGAGATGAATTAGGAGTTTTTAAAATGGAATTAATATGTAAAGACTAAAGACTGAAGAGTTGGGTTTGATTTGATTAAGACTGATTAATGCAAAGGATGGTGCGTGTAGGTAGCTCATTGTACTTATCGTGGGTGAGGAGGAAAAATTAAAAAGGACAAACGAAGGATCGGAGATGAGATGGTCAATTAGTACAGTGCCCACTTAAAAGAAGGCTGTTCGATCCCTCCTTTCTCTTTGTCACACCTTACGCTTTCCATTGGCCGACGCAACACTGCACCACTTGCTCCAACAAACAAGTACCGAAGCACATACACAGACAGAGAAGGAGTGAGAGAGATGCTTGCTTGTGTGACGACTATGGTTTAGATTTCAGAGAGAAAGACCGAACGAGAGTGGGAAATGGATTAGACGGGGAAGGCATCGATTGCATCAGAGAAAGGGAGAGAAAGAAAAAGGCAATGCTTGAAGAAAGAGTGGACTTGCAGGAGGTGCAGCAGGCGCACAAATGCACAATAGCCTCGAGTGGAGAGAGAGGGGAAAGAGAGAGAAAGGATGGCTAGAGAGAGAGAGAGAGAAAGAGAGTAGAGACTGACACACACCAACAGGACAAGTGATGTGCTGTGGACCAGACGTTTTTCACTTTACTTGCACTGTACTGTGTAGCCTCCCGTCCTTTGTTTCTCTCTCTTCTCTCATTCTCAATTCCTAACTTTGCATCTTTGTTGTTTTTTTCTCAGAGTCTAAATAAAAGTAGCCATGTTTGATGCTTGTTTCTGGTTAATTGAGGATTTAAGATTGCGGGAAGGATTCCAGGCAAGCAAAGAAACGTCTGGACATCTCTCACCGTGGGCATGTTAAATGTCATAGTGTGCTCACAAGACAACAAATATAAGGGCAATAATTAGGGATGGGACCAGGTTGCAGGGCGTGGGAAAGGATGAACATGACCTTGTCGGTGGTTCTGCAGAGAGTCCCCTTAATCTCGTCAGTCTCTCACAGTCATAACTCCTCCCCCAGCACAAGCAACCAATCTGTTTCATGTTGGATTTTAGATGGGCGGTAGGAAGCAAAGCCCCATCTCATCTCCAACCACAAAGCTTTCTCTCTTTTTATCTCTCTCGGTAATTTGGGGTGTCTGCATTAATGCAACCAGGAGAGGTTTATGGCTTCATGTTCACAGTCAGTCACAGCAACCCCTTCTTGCTTGCTCTCTCAACAGTGGATATTGTTTATTGAGAGGTAAGGCTAAGGCACTGGCACTATCATATAAATTGGGCTAAATTAGTAGGCCCCATTTTAAGCTCTGCTCACCTGTTTTGAGTTTTCAGGGTTTTTGTGTATTTTTGGGAACAAGGGAGCTTAAATCTCCTTCAAGGTATCTCTACCTACTGCTCAATCGCTTGCTTACGTCTTGGGAAAAGGGTTGAATTAGCTGAATGGGTTGGTGGATTTAGCACCCACAAGGTCAAAATCAACCCAAATTTAATTTTATAGGGAAAAAAAAGGAAAGAGACTTAGTTTACTCGGTTGATAATCTCTATTTGATTAGTTTTTCTCTGTGATTAGATGAGTTGGGCTTCGGAACAGAAGGATCCATGGGTTGAGCCGGATGCATGAAGACGATGGTATAGCAGAAAAGATTAAAATAGGGGAATTTTGAGGAGAGCGAGAGGTCGGGTTTACTGTAGATTTTAATGGAATTGAGAGGCCAAGACAAGGAAAGAGGGATGCCAAGTTCTTTGGTTTATAATCCTCCCATTCGAGAATCATCCTCCAAGGTCTCCTCTTCTCATTCAGTAATTTCCACAGGACTGGTGGGAGTAGGAGAAAGAAGAAAAGATGGGACTGGTAACGGCACTGCGATCCTTAACCCATCTCAAACCCTAGATCATCTTCAACATCAGCATCTTCACCTTCATCACCATCAACCACAAGGGCAAGGGAGAACTCCAGACCCCCCAGAGCCAGATCCAGTTCCGGTAGCAGTTGCGGTTGGTGGTGCAACAGGTGCACCAGTTGCAGGTGGATCGAACTCAAGGACGCCGCCGTCTGCTCCAACAACCACAGTATCAACGATCCCCAGGACAGCCACCGGTGTTCGATATCGAGAATGCCTCAAGAACCACGCAGCAAGCATTGGCGGCCATGTTGTGGACGGCTGCGGAGAATTCATGCCGAGCGGCGAAGAAGGGACCCCAGAAGCCCTAAAATGCGCCGCTTGCGATTGCCACAGGAACTTTCATCGGAAAGATATGGAGGGGGAGCCCCAATCGGGGGCGAATTGTTATTACTACTACAATAAAAACCACGGCGGATGCGGAGGCAGAAGTAGAATCCCTCCTCCTCCCCCTCAACTACCTCCTCAACCTCTTCAGCAACACCAAAAATTCCAACTGGGCTTGCCCACCAGTCCTTCAACAGGGCCAATTCCACCACCCATGATGATGGCCTTCTGCAGTGGAGGTGTTGGTGGGGGAGCCACCGAGTCATCAAGCGAGGACCTCAATGTGTACCAGTCCAATGCAGCTGGGGGAGCTACACGGCCTCTGCCACCATTCTCACTGTCAAAGAAGCGGTTCCGGACGAAATTCACGCAGGAGCAGAAGGACAGGATGTTAGAGTTCGCCGAGAAGGTGGGATGGAGGATCCAGAAGCAAGATGAACCGGAAGTCCAGCAGTTCTGTGCTGAAGTGGGTGTTAAGAGGCAGGTCCTTAAGGTTTGGATGCACAATAATAAGCACTCCGCCAAGAAGAAGCAGTTGTAAGACGAAGTACATCTGTTTCCATTGATTACACGACATAGATAAATAGATAGATTTCCAGAGAGAGAGAGAGAGAGAGGGAGAGAGACCTAAGAGTGAAGAGTGAAGACCACCCGCTGTTGAAAACATCATCTTGTATTATTTTCTATTTAACCATCCATATTGTGATCTCGCCGCTTTTCTCTTCCTCTTCTTGTAACTCGCACTCTTGAAACAGAAAAGAATAAAAAAGGTCCATCATCTTTTCTTCGTCTTTAGAAATGGTGGTGGTGGCGGTGGTAATGTTGAGAAGTGTTTGTAATTAAATTTTGTCCAAGATTCTGGCTTCCATCAGTCGCAGCTCCCAGTTACCATCTCTCTCTTGAAACCTCAAATAGACATCTCTCTCTCTCTCTCTCTCTGAAGGTAAAGGACGAAAGGGCAGAGAAAAATTCTCTCTTGAAAGAAAAAAGAAAAAACTCTGAACAGTAAACACACAGGCACAGTCTTTCTGAGTCTTATAAGGTAATAGGGAAAAATCTCTCTCTTCAAACTTTTCGGCCTTATTAGACACGGCAAGGGAGAAATCCGACCCTGAGAGTCATCGTTTTGCATGCTGCCCATGAAAAATGAATTATATAATTTTTATTGAATTTAATCTGTGTTTGGTACCCAATTCTCTTTGGGTTACACCTCGCGCTCTTTAATGTTATACCTTAAGGCACAAAAGTACTATTTACAACAGTACTTGGTGCAACCTACAGACGAAAGATAAGATTCGAACTTGCGGTAGGACTGATCATTTTGACCTTGAACGCCATCCTCTGTCCGGTAGGATTTAGAGTAAAATCTCGCCAACATGCCAGTTATAGTCAGTGCCCTCTGTATTAATCTCTTCCAAATTACGGTACATTGGTGACTAGGTCCATGAGGAAATTTTCTATGATTTTTTAAATATTTTTAATTATTTTATACTATATAATGGTCTTTAGTAGTATTTTATTATTTAGATTATTGATTTTTAATATCATTTTCTGAAACTATAAGCGTGAGAATGCTAATTGGGTGATATTTTTGATCGGTCAAAACCTTTTCTAAAACTAATTGCTTTCTTTAGGTCATAAGGGGGTATTCTTTTTTTGGATTTTGAGAGGAATGAAAGTTGGTTAATAGGATTTTGGTTCTCATTATTTAAGAACCTCATGTTCTTTTTTTCAAATTTATGTGAGGATCAGGGAAAGTTTATTTTCCTATGTATCACTTGCCCATCTCTTAGGTGGGTAAATAACTTTCCCACATAGGGGAAAGTTGCCAACACTTGAATGAGACAAAAATACCCCTTTTAATAATCGATTTTTATGGCTAAAATGGCCATTGCCTTATTAACATAAGAAATAAAAGAACATGGGTACATGCACTTACCCAAATAAGTGTTTCCCAAGAAAAATTTACCTAAGTTACTGCATTTACTTAGGTAACTTACCAAATGTATGTTACGTATGTTGATACTTACATGCATAATAATATTCTTACACTGGTATAAAATAAAAATAGATCCTCTTTTAAGCTTAATTTGGAAGGAGTATAAATACAAATATACATAATGAATTTTGTATATTTACACTAAGATATTTGTATTTGTACTCTTACCAAATTCAATTTGTTAAGAATACATATGCAAGGTTTAGAAATATCATATACAAATTTTGCATTATACATATTTGTATTTACATTTCCCAAATTGAAAGCAAATACAAGTATGTTTGATTTTAAACCTTGCATACTATATTTTTTTTAAACCTTACATTTTGCATTCTTCTGAAATTGAACATTTATGAATAGAACACTTTTTCATCTTTTTGGTTCCTTATGTGGATGTAGTCGGGAAGGATCACATGATACATAAACATGGCATAGAGGAAAGGAATCTTTTTTTTTATCTTGGGTTTCTAGCATATAAGAGCAACTTTTGGGGTTTAATATCAATAAAAGTAATATATTTAAAAAAAAAATAAAAAATAGATTAATTTTTAAAAATAATATCAATAAAGGGCAAAAACACTGTTCATCATCTTCTTCTTTCCATTTGTTCACTAGAGCTGCCGTCCACCGCTACTCGCCGCCTCCTCTACCCACCTCCACCTCTGCCTCCAGCAACGTTGCCGGAGGTGGAGGGTAGTGGTGGGCAGCGGCTCTGGTGAACAATGGCAAGAAGAAGAAGATGAACAGTGTTTTTGCCCTTTATTAATATTATTTTTACAAAGTTAACCTATTTTTGAAAGTGTTTTCAATATATTACTTTTATTGATATTAAACCCCTAAAAGTTGCCCTTATATGCTTTACCCCTTTTATCTTTGCATGGAAAACCATTAATAGTTTAACATGTGGCGTGGATGACTAGAAACTTTTCTACCAAAAAGAATATTAATTGTGTATAGTGTGGGCCGTGGTTGGCTGATTGGATGGTTTGCCTTGTCCATGCATCCACCCATTGGGATGGGATCTTCTCCTCACAAATGGGTGCCTCATAGGCACATCCACCATACATTGGGAACATCTCCTCACGGGAGATCTTCCCAATGCATGATAGGATGTGCGTGTGAAGTGCCTGTGAGGCGCTAGGTGTGAGGAGCAGATCCGGTCTCCCACTCATTAACTATTACTGCGATGTGAATTATGATGTTGAGTTCTCCGCCATCACCACGGATATTACAAATTTATGGTTCCATCAAGTAATTCACATCTGGGACGCCCCACAACTCCCCACAATACATCTCAACCGTGCATTGAGAACATCTCCCAATGACAAGCTACTTGAGATGTGTTGGGATGTGAATTGTGATGCTGAGTTCTCCGTCATCATCAAGAGATGTTTTTAATTAATACATAGGCTCATAGCTGGGAATGTGTTGTGGGGCGCCCCTTAATGTGAACTCGTATAAAAAGAGAATTGCACGTGCAAGCTATTTGGCATATGGAGCAAAAGAGCTCCTCCGACTTATCACCTCTTGATTTTCATGTCTAAACCCTAAATCCTAATCTTAAATTTAAAACCCAAAATCCTAAAATCTAATTACCTTTTAAATCCTAAAATTAACCTATAAAATGAGACCGAATCAGTCCCCACAACGTCCCACAGCACATTCATGCCATGTATTGGGAACATCTCTCGATGATGACATCATTATTTCAGATATTATCATTGGAAGATGTTCCCAATACATGACGGGGATGTGCTATGAGACATTATGGGGGGCTAATTTGAACTCCTGTAAAATGCCTTTAATTTAATTAGTGCCTTATGAAGTTAATAATAAAGCCTTGTTCATTTCTTACTTATTATTTTTTGTTTAATTTACCCAAATAAATATATCTTGTGCGAGATTTTTTGGCCATTTTTTTCCATTTATACCATACTCGGGAAACTCAACTTACCCAAATCTTAGAATCGGATAAATGTTAACTAGGAAAATCAATTTTGTCATGGATCCCACATGTTTATGAAATAACTTAAAAATGGGTAAATTCCCCCTCCCCCCCTCAAAATCCCAAAAACAGTGGGGCCTAAACCCCTAAATTTCTAAACCCTGTATTCTGCTAATTAGATTTACGCTTAGAAGGCAGTTTAGAGCTTACAGTTTCATATTTATTTTTGATATATCTTCTAACTTGTTCAGATATCATGATCATTTTGTGCATATTGTGAGTAAAGCTTTCGCTGTGAAAGTTTCAACAATGTTATATTGCTCCAAGTCTGTTAATTGTTGATCAGGGGAGTGATGTTCTCGGCATCGGCCCAGTTCAATGACATTCAGGACTCAGGAGGAAAGCATACAAATAAAACCAGCTTTTGTTGACCAAAGTGCCTGGAGTTGGATGTATTGTCCTTTTCCGATATGCATTAGCCAGAGAAAAAGAGAGAGAATCGACTTCAGTTTCCTTGGAATTCCCTGGATCCAGTCTTTGCCCGGTCCAAGAAATCACATCCATCCATCTCAAGTAGCAATGGGGGATCCTGATTGTGGTATGTTCTTATTTATTTTACATAGTTCCCATTTCTTTTGCTAAGATTTTCCTTTTACTGGTCACAAAAGTCATTTTCCTTTTGTTATGTGACTTTATTTGAATAGAATAATCTCAGTAGCATACAAGCAAAAGAAAAACAAAATAAAATAAAAGGCAATCCACACTGAGTTCCAAAATCAGTCTCCTGATGGCAAACAACTTGAAAATTTGTTGTCTGCAATAAATGCCACAAAGAAAATAGTTAAGAACCACAATGAAGAACACTCACTTATCTGCTGTGTTTGGTTCCTCAAACAAATAACTGAATAAGCGAGAAAATTAAAGAATAAAAGAGTCATTCATATTATCTTATAGGTTTTTTCAGTGGCTAGAGAGTGACATCAATTAAAGTCTGCACACTGCGCTGAAAAGCTATGTTCGTCTGATTTACATTTTAACCAACAACCATAAATGCCTTGCAGTATCACAAACCTAAGCATATAAATTTCTTTAACAAAGAAATTTGCATCCGTGTTCAGTCATGAGGAGATCGGGTTCAGTCCTCATACTGCCGTGCTTACACCGTCCTCACAACAATTTGCATCCGTGTATGAGGAATATCTCCCTTCTTTATGTTTTAATTTATGGGGGATGGGGGATATTCCCAATGGGCAGCTGTAAATCGCTGTGAGGAGTGAGGACGGTGACAGAACTGAGAATGGCTTATGGTTATTCCTTTCTCTTGTTCTGGCATGCCTTTGCTGTTGAATAATGGATAAAGGGTTAGTGATTAATAGATGCTAGTAGAAGAAAATGAAACTCAGATCTTAGTACAAACTGTACCGAAGAGTATGTACCATATACATTAAAGCTGTGAAACTTCCTAGAACTTTCCCTCAACTTATTTTCTATCAAAGTATCAAACCAAACACAGCCTTGTGAGCAAGACCTATTTTTAAGAAGAAGAAAAATATCTGTGAGAGAAGTTAATAGTCATTGAGTACATTTTGTTAAAAATAGGCCTGTTTTTAAGGCCTGAAAGCAAAGCTACCAAATTTCATTAAAAGCATTGAGTACATTTTGTTATTTTAAGAAGTAATAAAATAATCAATTTGCATAAATGGATTAAACAAAAGTTGTCTTTAAAGCAATCCAAAGTCTGTAACGAACACAACAAAGAACTCTCTGAGAGAGAGAGAAGAAGAAGATTAAGGCTTCTAAATTAGGTTCTCTCTAGCATACCTTGGCCTAAGGCAGTAAGGCATACTAACTTATAATACCTTGGCTTGATATTGTTATGGACACACCATCGGACAGTGCATTGCGGTGCAGTTATAGGCAGCAGCAC